GAACTTCTTCCCTCAGAGATTGGAAGATCTTTAGAATTTTGTCCAGAGTGCTGTGAATGCTCAACCATTGAACAGGCACAAAACAGAAATTGTTAGACTTCCAGAGACTAATGATATTAAGGAATATAGAGATAATATGGGTAAAAGGTACTGAGGAAATGTTCAACCATGATTTAGAATGGCAGGGCATACTCACTTGGCTGAATGGCATGCTCCTATGTTTCCAATAATGCACTTTGAGATTTTTATAAGCAACATCATATCAGTTATATATAATCAGAAGTCTTCCTTCTCACTTCTTTTAATTTTCATTTGACCTCGAATCGACTTATAATCATCCCAATAATTAATAATACTGGCTGATATTGAAACTTTTTTTGAGGCAACATAATGTTTTACATTGTGACTTGGAGAGGAAGAACTGCACTTATAAACGTGGATCAAATCAATGGTTGAATGAGAATGATCATTATCACTTAAGTTGACACAGCAAGAAGGTACACTAAATCATTATATTTATAGACAAAGAATGACGTTCCGGAACTAGGACAAATTGGCTAAAAGATATGTCTCCTATTTTCTAAAGCACCTTAAACAAAACCGGAGGGTTCCTGTAACAACTCACCATAACAATGGTAAAAAGCATGATAAATTGAAAATTGGATGAAACTGCATATTTCAACTATTTCCTTTTCATGAGAAATTCTTACAATGAATGCATCAAGAAACATTTGAAAGAGGAGATTAATGACTGATGAAGAAATGATACATTGAAGCAATTTAGTGTTCAATGTGGTTTCTTGTTACCACTGACTATAGCAACTGTATCCCTTATTTTGAAAACTAAAACACTAATTTATAGTTTAGGTAATATGTAATACTTTGGTACAAAAACAAAGATCCATCTCAGAAACAAATATGAATAGACCTCAGTTCAGATCTTCTTTAAATTAGGTAGCTAACAATGAAGGTGTATGCTAACAATATTTTGACATTGTTCGTAGCTGTCCACTGGATCTGAGAAGAGCTTAGTGCAGAATCATTGCTTGACACAATTTTAGGCAATCCCTTAGAACTGAGGATGACTAGCCTCCATTCCAGTTTGCTGAGCTCTGAAATGGCTGATATATCAAATGCATGAACTGCAGACTCTCCCACATGTGGACATGGGCCAAATAAGGATGGACAGGCTGTTTGAAGGCTGGTATGCTCTGAATGATGTCTCAATGCCACCTCTGCATTCTCCTAAAGAAGTCTGCTGATATGCTTAATGCCTTCCTGAGCAAGACTTCCCCAAGCTCACAAGCTGTTGGGTGTGTTTGACTTCTTCATGGATACTTTCACATAATAAAGATAGGATGAGGATTATGAAGTTTATGTACTGGGAATAGGCATTGATTGAAATTTTCAAAGAGGGGTTGTTCATGTGAAAAATTAGAGATATGGATAATTTTGAGTTGATATAGTGTGGATCTAACAAATTTGGTGAAAAGGGTATGCAAGAAATTGAATCATGAAATGATGAATGAATAGTTTGGGTGTGATGAGTGAACATGAATATGATCAGACAAAGTGGAAGCAAAGTGTTTTAGTAGTAAACATGATGTTAGGCTTGAAGTTCATGATAGGACCCTGAGAAACTATAATCTGTGATTGCAGATGAATTAGTTTAGCTCACTCTAAGTGTGGATGCAGAGCTGATACCTGAAGTAGGACATTTCTAGAAAAAGCTAAATATGTAGAAATATAGGGGGAAAAGTGGACCACTTTGTCTTTTGAATCAGAGATAGTAGGAACTGCAGATGCTGGAGAATCCGAGACAACAAGGTGCAGGGCTGGATGAACACAGCAGGCCAAGCAGCATCATAGGAGCAGAGAGGCTGACGTTTCGGGCCTAGACCCTTCATCAGAAAAGGGGGAGGGGAAGGGGGTTTTGAAATAAATAGGGAGAGAGTGGGAGGCGGATAGAAGAGGGATAGAGGAGAGGATAGGTGGAGAGGAAACAAACAGGTCGAAGAGGCGGGGATGGAGCCAGGAAAGGTGAGTGTAGGTAGGGAGTTAGGAAGGGGATAGGTCAGTTCAGGGAGGACGGACAGGTCAAGGGGGCGGGATGAGGTTGGTCGGTAGGAGATGGAGGTGCGGCTTGAGGTGGGAGGAGGGGATAGGTGGGAGGAAGAACAGGTTAGGGAGGCAGGGACGAGTTGGACTGGTTTTGGGATGCGGTGGGGGGAGGGGAGATTTTGAAACTTGTGAAATCCACATTGATACCATTGGGCTGCAGGGTTCCCAAGCGGAATATGAGTTGCTGTTCCTGCAACCTTCGGGTGGCATCGTTGTGGCACTGCAGGAGGCCCAGGATGGACATGTCGTCTGAGGAATGGGAGGGGGAGTTGAAATGGTTCGCGACTGGGAGGTGCAGTTGTTTATTGCGAACCGAGGGTAGGTGTTCTGCAAAGCGGTCCCCGAGTCTCCGCTTGGTTTCCCCGATGTAGAGGAAGCCACACCAGGTACAGCGGATGCAGTATACCACATTGGCAGATGTGCAGGTGAACATCTGCTTGATGTGGAAAGTCTTCTTGGGGCCTGGGATGGGGGTGAGGGAGGAGGTATGGGGGCAGGTGTAGCACTTCCTGCGGTTGCAGGGAAAAGTGCCGGGTGTGGTGGAGCTGGAGGGGAGTGTGGAGCGGACAAGGGAGTCACGGAAAGAGTTGTCCCTCCGGAAAGCAGATAAGGGTGGGGAGGGAAAGATGTCTTTGGTGGTGGGGTCGGATTGCAGATGGCGGAAGTGTCGGAGGATGATGCGTTGGATCCGGAGGTTGGTGGGATGGTACGTGAGGACGAGGGGGATTCTTTTTTGGTTCTTATTGCGTGGACGGGGTGTGAGGGATGAGGTGCGGGAGATGTGGGAGACACGGTTGAGGGCGTTCTCGACCACCGAGGAGGGGAAGTTACGGTCCTTAAAAAACGAGGACAACTGAGATGTACGGGAGTGGAATGCCTCATCCTGGGAGCAGATGCGGCGGAGGCGAAGGAATTGGGAATAGGGGATAGCATTTTTGCAGGAAGGTGGGTGGGAGGAGGAGTATTCTAGGTAGCTGTGGGAGTCGGTGGGCTTGAAATGAATATCGGTTTCTAGGTGGTTGCCCGATATGGAGACAGAGAGGTCCAGGAAGGGGAGAGAGGTGTTAGAGATGGTCCAGGTAAACTTAAGGTTGGGGTGGAAGGTGTTAGTGAAGTGTATGAACTGTTCGAGCTCCTCGTGGGAGCACGAGGCGGCGCCGATACAGTCATCAATGTAACGGAGGAAGAGGTGGGGTTTAGGGCCGGTGTAGGTACAGAAGAGGGATTGTTCCACGTAACCTACAAAGAAGCAGGCGTAGCTTGGGCCCATGCGGGTACCCATGGCTACCCCCTTTGTCTGTAGGAAGTGGGAGGAATTGAAAGAGAAGTTGTTGAGTGTGAGGACGAGTTCGGCTAAGCGGATGAGGGTATCAGTGGAGGGGGACTGGTCGGGCCTGCGGGACAGGAAGAAGCGGAGGGCCTTAAGGCCATCTGAATGGGGAATGCAGGTGTAGAGGGACTGGACGTCCATGGTAAAGATGAGGTGCTGGGGACCGGGGAATTGGAAGTTCTGGAGGAGGTGGAGGGCGTGGGTGGTGTCACGGACATAGGTTGGGAGTTCCTGGACCAAAGGGGAGAAAATGGAGTCTAGATAGTTGGAGATCAGTTCGGTGGGGCAGGAGCAGGCGGAGACAATGGGTCAACCAGGGCATTCAGGTTTGTGGATTTTGGGAAGGAGATAGAAGCGGGCAGTGCGAGGTTGGGGAACGATGAGGTTGGAGGCCGTGGGTGGGAGGTCACCTGAGGTGATGAGGTTGTGGATGGTTTGCGAGATGATGGTTTGGTGCTCAGGGGTGGGGTCATGATCAAGGGGGCGGTAGGAGGATTTCACAAGTTTCAAAATCTCCCCTCCCCCTACCGCATCCCAAAACCAGTCCAGCTCGTCCCTGCCTCCCTAACCTGTTCTTCCTCCCACCTATCCCCTCCTCCCACCTCAAGCCGCACCTCCATCTCCTACCGACCAACCTCATCCCGCCCCCTTGACCTGTCCGTCCTCCCTGAACTGACCTATCCCCTTCCTAACTCCCTACCTACACTCACCTTTCCTGGCTCCATCCCCGCCTCTTCGACCTGTTTGTTTCCTCTCCACCTATCCTCTCCTCTATCCCTCTTCTATCCGCCTCCCACTCTCTCCCTATTTATTTCAAAACCCCCTTCCCCTCCCCCTTTTCTGATGAAGGGTCTAGGCCCGAAACGTCAGCCTCTCTGCTCCTATGATGCTGCTTGGCCTGCTGTGTTCATCCAGCCCTGCACCTTGTTGTCTCACTTTGTCTTTTGAACCTGTTTAATCAATCAATGAGATCAAATGTTATCTGTCTTAACTCCAGTGATCTACTTTTGTTCAGTGTCCCTCAGTGTGGGTGTTTAATAAAAATCTACATAGCTTAGACTTAAAATTGGAAATTGCCATGGAGAAAAAGTTCCAAACTTCTCCCAGTATTTTGTGTCGAAGGTCTTTCCTGAAAAGTCTGTCTCTAATTTTTCTGACTATATATCTGAGTTCTGACACCTTAAGCAATTCAAATAGTCACTCCCTTTCTACTACTTAACATGGGACATATAATGGGCAAATAGAGATGAGCGTGCGTACACTTCATTAGAAGTGATAAAGAGCCAAGATCCTGAATTTTTTTTAATTTTTTCGTGGGATGTTATTGTTGCTGGTTGGGCTAGCATTTATTGTCCATTCTTAATTGTCCTAGAGCAGTTGCTGGTGAGTTCTCTTATTGAACTTCTGGGGTTGAATGAAGCCAGGACCTGAGTGGCTGAGGGCAAATTGATCATCAGTAAACAGGTTATTGCTGAGCATGTGTTGCTTGTTAGCACTGTTATGACACCTTCCATTATTTTGCAGATAGACAGGGCAGTAATGTGGCCAATTTTCCACATTGCAGGGTAGATGCCATTGTAATAGCTGTATGGAAATGACATGGTAAGGGACTTGGCTAATTTTGTTAGAACACTGTTGGGTCTGCAAATCCACTGGCTGAAGATTGGCATCTGTGATGCTGGGGATATCTGGAGGAGATTAAGGTGAATCATCTGCTCAGCATTTCTGCCTGAAGTTGGTTTTCAAATGCTTCAGCCTTGTCTTTTGTACTGATATGCTGGACTCTCTCATTACTAAGGATGGTGACATTTGCGGAAGCTCTTGTTTATTGCTCAATACCAACCCCAACATTCATAATGGTAGGATTGCAGAGCCTGGATCTTTTCCAGCGGTTGTTGGATTGCTTAGCTCTTTCTAACTCCAGTTGCTTCTGCTCTGTGTTATACAAGTAGTCCAGTGTGGTAGCTTCAGAGTTTCTCTTCATTATATTGTATATCTGCTGCTGCCACTCCTCATTAAACCACTTCACTCAGGCAGATTCCAGGAGAGTGGTGAAGTCCATACTGTCACAAATAGGTCATTCAGTTTGGGATTAGTTGTGGGGTAGTGTGGGGATGTTGGGGGTCGAGGGGGATAGTTGATGTGGCATTGGAGAGTTGGGTGGTCCACTGGAATTTGGGCAGTGAGGGGAGAAGTCAGTTGTTTGGTTAACCAAGGGTTAGAGCTGACCCCCATCTGGCTAACATTTTCTGGGTAACTATCCTGGTAAGTAAGGACACTTAAGTCTCTGACTCACTCAAAGTTGGAGATATTTTCAAAGATAACAGAAACAGTAAGTGCTGGAGAAAGCCAACCGCTCTGGCAGCATCCCTGGAGAGAAAAAGAAAACAGAGTTATGATTTTGAGTCTGACTTGAGTCCAATGTTTAAACTCTTGGGTAATTCCTTCAGTGTTACTGTACTGGGACTTCCCAAAGGTCCTGGCACATATCTTCCACGATACATCCAGTCTCCAACTATTTGAACACTGCGCGTTGTCTTTTGTTTTCATGTGGGCTCTAATATCTATGTCTCATTCTTGTTGAGTTTATCTGTTTGCTCCTGAGACTCTGACTCTGTCTCTATTGTGCCTTCATTTCTGCAGTGGCTTGACATGGGATTTTCCATGCCTGCTTCCTGATATCTAGTAGCAAGCACGACTAAGTCTTGGAAAGTACAACTAGAATCAAACCATAAACTATTATATTCAGATGGGTGACTTAATTGGTAAGCGGGAATAATAGAACTCAAATTTCTAATTAACTAGAACATTCGATAACTGAAATAAATAACCAACCAATTTTTTTTTTAAAGCATTAATCATTAATTTCTCTCAACTACAGTAAACAACAAGCAATAATGCACATTTGTTGCAAAATCACTTTTGAAAGAGGTGACTTACATTTTGCACTATAACTGGACTTCAATAAAGAAGGAAGCTGCTTTGCCACTTATAACTAATTGAACTTTTTAGCTGTGCTAACATTTTGGCAACACAGGCCAAACTAGGTTTGTTAACTTGGAATAATCACAAAGATTTGATCATGAATGTTGTGACAACATGACACCTGAATTCATTTCTTTCTTATTTAGCCTATGTTTCCTCTGCCTTCCACAATCACTTAGGTTTAAATTTCTAATTCCATCTCATCTTCTCTTCTCTCTGATCAACTTGTCGGGATCTCATCTCTTTGCCAATCTAATCTAAAACTGCTATTAAAAGTGCTATCAATTGGAGAGGCTGATCTTGTGTTCTATAGGAAAATTCTGTAGGGCTGTTGTGTGAATATCAATGGGTTATAGGATTGACCTTTCCAAAAGATACTGATTTATGTAACAACAGCTGGGTCCCCCATTGTTCAGTGTCTTTCCTTTTTGATTTGCATCAGTAGCTGTTTTGAGACCCAGGAGGCCACTCATGAACAAATGAAGAAGGGAAATTGAGGGGAGGGATATGGGAACCAAAGGCAGTGGGGAAATTCATAGGGGAAACAAAAGGAGCAACTTTGGTTTTACCAGTTACAAATCATAAGATTTACTAGAATTGTACCACTAACTAAAACTGACAATATCAGGATTCTTTTCATAATCAACGTTAATTTATCTAACAAGTAGTAATAGATAAAATGTCCTAATATCTGATTTATAACTTGGGACAATCCTGTATTTTTTAGAAAGTATTCTGAGGGACATGTTATATCTGTAGTTGGAGAGACATGGACTAATCAGGGACAGTCAGAATGGATTTGTTAAGGGAGTGTTACGTTTGCCAAATGTGAGGAGTAACTAGGAGTGTTAATGAGGGAAATGCATTTGGTGTAGTTACTCATGGAACATCAGCCAGGAAACTAAGAGCCCATGAGGTCCACAGCAAAGTGGCACGTTGGATCCAAATTAGCTGAGAGGCAGGAAGCAGAAAGCAATTGTAGTGCCATAGGTCAGAGATCCTCCAGCCCAGGCAGCAAACTCAGCATCCCCTCAAGTGCAAGCATATCCTTCTAATAATGTGGTGACCAGAACTCAAGACAGTACTCCAGTTGTGGCCGAACTAGCCTTTAATGTAGTTTCAGTGTAACCTCTGTGTTGCTGTATTCTCGGCCTATGAGTCTTCTTCAACACGTTATTGACCTGCCCTACCACCTTCAGGGTTCTGTGGCTATACACAGCCAGGAACAGTAAGTTCAAGGTAATCAGGCAGAATTAACATGTTTTTTCTCAAAGGGAAATCATGCCTAACTAATTTATTGGAGTTCTTCGAAGAATTAACTTGAGCTGTTAATAAAACGCAATCTGTAAATGTAATGTGTTTCCAGAAGGCATTAGATAAGGTGCCACATTAAAGATTATTGTGGAAAATAAAAGTTCATGGTGTTGGTAGTAACTATTGACATGGATAGAAGACTAGCTGGCAAACAGGAAGCAGAAAGTAGGAATAAAATATTCTTTTCAGGCTGGCAGGATAAGATGAGGCATGCTACGGGATTTCTGTTGGGGTGTCAACTCTTTACAATTTATATAAATGATTTGGATGAAGGAATTAAAGGCATGGTAGCTACATTTGCTGATGACGCAAAGATAAGTAGGAAAATAAGTTGCAAAGAGGATATAAGGAGCCTACAGAGGGATACAAACAGGTTAAGTGAGTGAGAAAAGATCTGGCAAATGGAGTATAATGTGAGTAAGTGTGAAATTTTTACATTTTAGCAGAAAGAATAAAAAAGAAGCGTATTATCTAAAAGGTGAAAATTTGCAGAACTGAGATGCAGAGAGATCCAGATGCCCTATGCATGAACTGCAGGTTTAGCAAGTTATCAGGAAAGCTAATACCATATTATGGTTTATTGTGAAGAGAATTGAATGAAAGAATAGATAGGTTATGCTTAATTTATACAGGGCATTGGTGAAACTAAGTGGGATACAGTATACAGTACAGGTTGTTGTTGGAAGCAGTTCAGAGAATGTTTATTACACTAAAACATGGAATGAGTGGATTAGCTTATGAGGAAAGGCTAGACAGACTAGGCCTGTGTCCTCTGAGGTTTAGAGGAGTCAGGGGTGACTTTATTGAAATATGGAAGATCCTGAGGGGTCTTGTCCGGATGTATGTGGAAAAAATGTTTCCTCTTGTGGGAGAATCTAGAATTAGGGACCATAGTTTATTTTTGAACTATCTCCCATTTAAGACAGAGATGAGGAAACATTTTTTCTCTGAAGTTTGTGTGTTTGGAATTCCCTTCCTCAAAAGGCAGTGAATGCAGAATCTTTAAATATTTTAAGGCAGAGGTAGATTAATTCTTGATTACCAAAAAGGATGACTGATTATTAGGGGTATGTAGGAATCTACAGTTGTGTTTGAAATCAGATCAGCCATGATCATATTGAACAGCAGAGCAGGCTTACAGGGCTGACTGGACTATTATTGTTTCTTGTTTGTATGTTTATAAGGTCCTTCTGATCTTTAATACTTTGCAGAAATCCTTTCACTGTCAGAGGTGACCAATTTACTTGACATCTGGCATCCTCGAATGTGCGTTTTTCTTCTGTTCTTTTCTTTTTGTTTTTCTTGCTTGTTCTTCTGCAATTCTGTGATGACTGCCTCTTCTACTTTCATTTCCTTCCCATCAGTTGCCAGTTCCTCCAAGAACAATTTCTTGACATTCTTATCAGTCTATCCATTTTTCAGGACCTCCTGAGTTGATGGGGCCACTGGTCTCGTTCTTATCTTTCAGTCTGGACAGGAAGGCAGTTGAAACTTTCTTAAGCAGATGCCTTTAGGATCATTCAGCAGTCAAAGGCTTAGCAGCTTGAAAAAAAGCTGTGACTCTCTTAAAACATGTACAAGGTTACCAGTCCCAGCTTTAGACTTACTTTACGGAGATGCGTGGATTTTGTTAAATGTGTTATCTGGAATTTTAGATCTTAGTTCTTTCCATTGGATTGTGCTGTCAACTTCAGCTATTCTGTTATCATGAGAAGTTCCATCATATAGCCTCAGCTTTACCTGTGAATGCTTCATTCTTGGGATGCCATTTTGAGGAACTCCGTACAGGTCTGTGAAGCTCATGATGTTTTACAAAGCACTTCACATGCAAAACTAGACCTTCTTTTGAGCAATAAGGCAGGGCAGGTGACTGAAGTAAAAGTGGGGGAACACTTTAGGTCTAGCAATCATAATTCTATTAGTTTCAAAACGGTTATGGAAAAGGATAGCCTTTCATAAAAGTTAAAAGTTTTTAATTGGAGTAAGGCCAATTTTAATTATGAGACAAGAACTTTCAAAAATTGAATGGAGTAGATTGTTCGCAGGTAAATGGATGTCTGACAAGTAAGAGGTGTTCAAGAGTGTGATGACAAAGTTCAGAGGCATTTAGTTCCTGCTAGAATGAAGGGTAAGTCTGGTAAGATTAAGGAACAATGGATGAATAAAGATATTGAGGTTCTAGTCAAAAATAAAAGAAAATCTATTTTTAGATATAGACAACTTGGTTCAATTGAATCTCTTAATCAATATAAAGAATGTAGGGGTATTCTTGAGAGAAATTAGGAAGGCAAAGAGGGGATGTGAGATAGCATTGGCGGATAGGATTAAAGATAATCCAAGGAGATTCTACAAATACATTAAAAGCAAGAGGGAAACTAGAGAGGGTTGGGCCTCTTAAAGATCA